GGGGGGAGAGGGGAGCAAAGCGAAGGGAGCCCTCGGGGATAATTATAAGGAATAGTTCAAGAACGGAATGACTGTTGCTGACCCCAGCCGGCGATCCGGCCGATCCGTAGCGAAATTGGGGAGAGGGGATTTTTTTGGGGCAAGTGATAGTACCAAGTAGATTAGGAAGAATTAAGGAAGAAAATGGGGTAGCAATAATACAACTAATGAATGAATAATCTGAGATGACTTCAACCCGAGCCAGCGGGGCGGGCATTTGGCACCTCCACTTGGAGGCTTTTGAGAATCTTGAAGGTCACTCAAAAGCGCAGCATTTTCTCGCCGTGGTTCCATGGCTTGGACCCTGATCGTTCCTCAACTCGGCCAAGGGAAAAGGTCAGGGCGATGACGACAAGGGCGAATAGGACCAAGTATGGAGACAGATGAAAGGCTGGGGGAGGATGACAGTGTGTCAGGTGGGCTCGTAAAGAGAAGGGAAAGTTGTCGTATTGTCCTTCCTCAATCACACACTGTGAGTAAGTCTCATTGTCCGAAGCAGCCAAGAACTTGGAATTAACATGGCATCTCCCAGAGCGACTACTGTAGGGAAATACTAGACTAGGGAAAGGGAAAGTTGGAACTGGAATCTCCTCCAGGCTCTTTCCGGAGATCCTCGCGTGCCATCTTGCCCAGACTAGTCTAGTCCCCACTGGACTAGATTACCTGAGTGGTCTTAGTCTCGTTGAGTTCAGATCATTTACGGAGTAGTACTATGTAGGTAGTAGGGATCCATGCATTCCCCTTAAGTTAGTTTACTGAGTGCCGGTAAGTCAAGTCAACTGACTAGGATAACAATACATAATCATGAATAAATGAATGAACTCAATCAATTGAGAGGCACAATTGCCGCCCACGTTACACATCAGTATGTACTCTGCGCACACCTCCCCCCGCCCTCCTCCTCGAAGAACACGACATTGCATGACTCGAAACGCCAAGCGCGTGTGGGTGTGTGTGTGCAGCAAGCACAGCACACTGCCGTCATCCTAACCAACGATCTATCTGAATGGTTCCGGGGGAACTGCTGCAATCATCCCATCCATGTCATAGGGTTGAAATGGCTTGCCTTAGCGTCGTCGACTTTCCACCCTGCCCTGCCTACCCTGTGCATTACATATCTTTTTTTCATAATTCTCATAAGTGAACGAAAAAAAAAAAAAAAAAAAAAAAACAAAAGACCCATCCATTGCATCCGGCAAATACCCAGTCCGAGAGGTTGTACAGAAGTCGGAAATAATAATGAAGAATCAGCCAAAAAACCGCCCGCAAATCCCAGTCAGAGCCTTAAATGATAAATCCCAAGCAAGCCACCTGAGACAAACCCTGCGCGACTAGTAAGATGTAACTAATGTACTCTATCTCAGGCTACACCTTGTCCTCATCCTTCCTCTCATTCTCTCTCAATCACTACCAGAATGAGAGCTCACAATAGTCAACTTATACGGTAAGTACGGAGTAGTGATAAGAAAAACCCCCTTTCTTTTCCTATGCCCACCAACCCACACCCACACCCGCCACCGAGGAAACCCACGCGCCACGCAGAAAATAAAAAAAAAAAAATAGGGGGCTCCACTCCCAGGGAAACCGTTGCTGCAGCGGATAGGACAGGAACAGGAACGACCATTCCTGCTTTTCCCTTCCCCCCCCCCTTCCTTGGCATGGAGACCACGGAGTAGAAAAGAGAAAGGGAGGGAGCAGTGGAAGGGACCCTGGGAAGTACTCCGTACACCGTACCTAGTCTCATAGAAATTACTATGTACTATCGCGAGGAGGAAGGACCTGGAAGATGCTGAGCCAACTTCCGACTTGGCAATTGGTACGGAGTACGTTACTAGTCTAACCAACTGCTAACTACAATCCACTTAACACACGCGATGTGGTCCTTTGGCATTTTCTGATTGCGTGCTAAATATGAAGCCAACTCACCATCTCACTAACCCATAACCTACACACTCGTATTCGTATCCTGCATATACTCAGTACCCGATAAGAATGCAGGGTCACATGATCCATCATCTTTCCATCCCTTGCTCGAGGTTACAATAAATAAGAGGCACTGATAAGCCTCAAATCACAAGGAGCACATCATGACCTCCAGTAGTAATTAACCAGTCATATACCGTTGCCTGAAACGTCTATCGAAAAGGTCCATATCGTATCTATGTCTTTTATCCTTTCTTCTGCCTCCCATGTCCCGCTCACCGGCAACAGCACCGCTCTGAAAGCGATCCGAACAGGGAAAGACAAGACAAGGGCAGAACAGAAGTGGCTCGGAGTCGTTTTTACATCAGGAAAGCCAGCCGGTTCTCGGCGATGCACAAAAAAAAATAAGAAGAATCACAAATAAAGGAAATAACACGGGGGATCAAGATATTTGTATTGATTCGTGACCACATTCCAGCGCACTGCACCTGCCACACCGCTAGGCCAGTGGCTCAACCACCAAGAAGGACATTTACTCCTGAGCCTTGGCCTCGCCCTCAGCCGGGGCATCCTTCATCTCCGTATCATCAGCCTTCTCCTCGGCCTTCTTGGCCTCCTCCTCAGCCTTGCGCTGAGCCTCGGCCTCGGCCCGCTTCTTAGCGGCCGCCTCCTCCTGGGCCTGCAGGACGGCCTGGCGCTCGGCCTCGGCCTTCTCGCGGTGGCGCTGGATGATGGGACCGGCAATGAAGCGGATCTCATCCATCTTGGCCACGTAGACGGACTTGGTAGTGTCCTCACCCTCATCGTAGAGCCAGTCCTGTTGACGAATTAGCATGTTGACAAAACAAAAGATGAGCGGAATGTGGAACTAACCTCAGTGTCCATGAGCTTGGCACGCAGCTTCTCCTTCTCCTCCTCGCTGGCGAACTCGGAGAAGACACCGTCGATCTTGTCGCGGAGCTCATAGATGCTGGCCTCGAGCTCGTTCTTCTTCTCGTCGGTCTCGGCGATCAACTTGTCCTCCATGTACATGGCATTCTCACGCTCAGTCCAGGTGTTCTTGAGCGACTCGTCGATGCCAGTGGTACCGGAGGAGATGGGCAGATCACCCTTGCGAACCTGCTTCTTGACCTTGCGGGTCTTCTTGGGCTGCTCGCCGTCCTTGCCAGTGTCCATGGGCTGAGTACGTTAGCCTCGATCTTATTGATAAATCATAGGGAAAGGGAAACTCACCTCGCCGTTCTCGTTCTCCTCGGGAACGGGCTCCTCGACTTCCATGTCCTCGACATAGTAGCCGGACTCGACGTTGAGGATACCGTGCAAGTTAAGGCGGGCCTTGAGCTTGCAGATCATGAAGTCGTCGTTGGCGTCAGCCTTGACGCCCTTGACAGAGAAGCGACCAACCCAGGGGTTGACCTTGCCAGGAAGCATCTCGGGCTTGGCGTAACGAGCCTCGAGGTCGAAGGGCTGCTTGCGGTAGAAGGTAAGGATCTTGGTGGAGGGCATGACGTTGCCGCGGTTGAAGACAGTCAGGCTGGTGTCCTCATCGGGAATGTCGGCGGACTGCTCCCAGGTGAACTCGATGGGGTAGTTCACAATGTCGTGCACGGAGAAGTCACGGACACGGAAGACGGGGGAGAGGATGGCACAGCTGAAAGCACAGCCACGGGCAATGGCCTCATCCTGGTTCAGGGTGAAGGACAGGCCCTTGCCAAAGAACTTGGCAACGGCGTCCTTGACGGCGGGGACACGGGTACAGCCACCAACCATCTCAATGGAGTCGATGTCATCGACGGTGAGCTTAGCCTCGGCAAGGGCCTGCTCGAGAGGAACGGTGATACGCTCAAGGAGGGGCTTGACCATAACCTCCAGCTCCTCACGCTTGACGATGGCGCGGACATCGACGTCCTCCATCAGAGACTCAATGCTCATGGGAGCAGCAGGGTTGGCCGACAGAACCTTCTTCATCTTCTCGGCGGCGGCGAGGGTACGGGACCAGGCCTTGGGGTTGGAGCGGACATCGATCTTGAACTTCTCCTTGAACTCATCGGCAAAGTGCTCGGTGAGAGCCTTGTCGAAGTTACGGCCACCAAAGTGACGGTCGCAGGCAGTGGCCTTGACATTAAGCTCACCCTTGCGGAACTCAACGATGGAGGCGGTGTAGTCGCTGTAACCGATATCAACGAACATGACACGGCGGGGCTTCTCCTCGGGGCCGGGGAGGTCCAGCTTGGTGATACCATATCCGAGAGCAGTGGCGGTGGTGTCGTTAATCAGACGAAGAACCTTAAGGCCAGCGATCTCACCAGCATCGATCATGGCGCGGCGCTGAACGTCGGTGAACCAGGCGGGCACGCTGATGGTGACGTCGGAGACGGGGAGCTTCAACTCCTTGGCGGTGATGTCTCTGATCTTGGTCAAGTACATGGCGACCAGCTGAGTGGCAGTGAACTTCTCCTTCTTGCCGAGGTAGCTGACCTCAACACCAGCCTGGCCATTGACATCACAGATCTGGGCCGTGCTGTACTCCTGCTCGAGCTGAACATCGGGGTCGCTGAAGGAGCGGCCGATCAAACGCTTGAGGTTGCCAACGGTGTTCTTCAGGTTGGAGGTCTCTTGGGTCTTTGCGGCCTCACCGATGTGTCTGCTTCTGGCGCTGAAACCAACCAGGGAACTATTGCACAAACCAGATTAGTATTCTTGCGCAGAACGAACAGAATAATGGACTGGCGCTAACTTACGGGGTAGATCGGTTGGAAACTTCGTTGGTGATCTGTTCATGGTTACAAGGTACTGGTTAGTCTCCGTTTGGGATAATATGATAATATGAGTCTCCGCCAAAGCTAAGCAGGAGAGGAGCGGGAAAAATGGGTAGAGGGGCAGAATGGGGGAAAAAGAGATAGATATACGCACAATATCAATACCCTTGTTACGGGCAACACCGACCTTGGTGCTCTGGGCACCGAGATCAATACCAACGACAGACATTTTTGTGTGAGAGAGGGAGATGTGGTGGGGGGGAGGGCGAAGAGAGAGAAAAGGTAAAAAGAGGTGTTGGTGGGAGGTAATATGGGGGAGGGGGAGGTTGGGTGAGGATCCAGAGCAAAAAGACGAGGAGGGACGAGGGGGAGAATTTGCAGCCACGCCACTATCTGTTAGGTAAGTAAGGTAAAGTGGCTCAGTTCGTCACTCGTTATGTGATGTCGGGCAACGGCCGCAATGAATGGGTATCAATCGATAATATTAGGAGATTTACAACAGGTTTGAATTTTTCAAAGGGGAATCAAGAGTTTGAATAGTTACTAGGAGTTCTATCAACGCGAAAGGAGACCTCTAGCTAGAAATAACACGAATTTGACTCATCCAGCAGTGCAAACTATCAGGCGAAAAGCCAAAGCTGAGGATCTCATCATCGAACCTTCCAGCGCCTACTCGAGCCCTCCCGCCAGATCACCGCCCGGCGCCTGCCTGGCAGTTCCTCTTCCACCGCCTTGGCGGGGCTTATCGATAAATCAGAGTTTTACTTTCCCTGCTATTGGCCACAAGCTGCTCAGCTCGGTATGACTGCCTCAGGCCGCCAGGCAATAATGTACTACGGTAGTAAACATCGTCCAAATTGGAGATTCAAATGGGCAAGGTGTTTCTACAACTGAATACAAAATAAAACACCCACAGGGGAAAAGATGGAATCCTGAATACCACCAAAAGAGAGGCGCGCATGTTAACAATTCATGATGGAACATGCATAAATATTCCAACACTCCATCGCTGCATTCACCGGTGCCTTCTCCCACGTCGCCCCGTACGCAAAAGACATTGAATAGCTGGCGTTCCTCTAATCCGGTGGGAGGAATCACCGCAGGCCCGCGCTGGCAGAAACCGAAACATACTGCTGAGTCAAAGGGGTTTCATGCCTGGTCCGTCGGTCGTAATAACGTTCCGATAGTCGGCATCCGCGTCCATTGTTTCACTCGCAGTGCTATATGTGGCTGCAGCATGTGTCTGGTCGCTTGACAAATGCACTATGCCACTCTCATAGTCCTCCGCTGATGGTAGACGCGACCCAACGACTGCGACTCCAGATCTATAGCTCGTCTTGATGTTTACTGCAGAATCAATATACCCTGGTGTACCACTAGCGTGATAGTGTCTGGCCTGCTCCTGTCCCTTGACCAAGCTCTCCACGGGCAGTGGGAGACAGATTGAATTGCTACCAGAATCTGTTGTTGCCACTGACTCCAGAGAGTAGGACGGATGCAGCCCTATCCGAGGTACTCCAGGAAGAGGTGTCATGTACTTGACCATGGCAGACTCGAGGTCTTCTCGTTTGTGAAGATCGCCGTAATCATGGGGAAGTGGTGGTGCACCCGACAAGCGTCCGTGGATTTTCTTGCTTGGGCGGACGGGTATGCCTCTTTCATCCTTCTTGGTTCGAAACGTATCAACCATCACGTTGAGCTCATCTCCTTGCTCCCGAGCTTTTTCTACTGCTTCCTCCGGTGATGTATACTCGTCCGCTTTTGCTGCATCCGCGCGGGGTCCTCCCCATGTGCGCTGGCCGGCCGTGAAAATACCATACACCATGTAGAGCCAATTGAAGAAGGGATTCACAATGAACATCAGCGGGTAGAGCCAAGCTTTGAACCGCTTGAGCTTCAGCCCAAAATAAAGCATCAGCAGGTAGTTCAGACCTAGAGAGATTGCGATAAATCCCACGGGGAGATTCTCTATCTTGCTAGATGTAGTGATGAGTGACACAACCAGGATTAAAAACAGCAAAGCGGTCGTCCGGATTGTATTCTGCATGAAGCGTACCAAGCAGAGAAGCGGATATCGCCTCCAGAGTCTGGCATCGGTCAGCATGCACACTTCGTTGGTGATGAAGCCCAGAAACCAGCGGCGTCGTTGCTTCAGGAGGCTACTGAAAGTCTGAACAGCTTCGGTTTTGCAAAAGGCACCGGTGCACATCTGGATCTGATAGCGCTCGGCTGCACCGATCATGAAAAGGTGCGTCAGCCATCGATCTTCGCCGAGATGGCATTTGCCGTAGTCGAAGAGATCCTCACACTGCTCAGCCTTGTCCGCAAAATAGTACTTGGCCATCTTGCGAAAAGCCGAGAACCTCAGAATTGTTAGCGCCCCTGGAAGGCAGGTAACAGCACCACATCCAGATTCCACCGAGCGCTCAAAGAGTTGACCGTGGACATACTCCATGTCCTGCAAGACTGTGATGAGAGAGTTCTTCGCTGTCGTTGACGTGAGGATACCAGTCATTGCCAGCATGTTATGCTTGCTTCCTGGTTTCAACTCCATGTCGTACATGAAGTTTTGTAGGCACAGCTTGTCAAGAATGCAGTCAGAATCGATGAATAGAAGGAAGAGGTCGTCTTGACGCTTGAGGTAATCAGCGTACACCTTGTCGATCAGCCTGAAAGTTTGCTTTTGGCAATGTCGTTTGCCGCCATGCTTGAAGCGGGACACCGTTATCCTTGCACCTTTGTATGTCACATCAATGCTCTGCGGGTAGGTCTCCAAAGAGATGGGAATACCGAGATGCTGGATAACCTGAAGATAAGACTCATCAATCTGGCCTCCGTCGTAAGAGAGAAACACATGAATACAGTATGTTGGATAATCACTGCAGACGACCGAGTCGATCGCCTTGATTAGTACGTGTGGTTCTTCTTTGAAGACCGGCATGACTATGACCGTCTTAGGTGCAGTGCGATCATCCAATGCTTGTTTCACTCGCTTGGTTCTTCCCAGCGAATTTATGATGAGCCGATTAACGCAAAATAGCCAGGGTATCACGAGAAGGACGGAGAAGGTCCAGAACGCGAACCATTGTAGAACGGAGGTCAATCTCGTTGGAAAATAGCGAGTTATCTGTGTCGGCAAGGGAAGGATGGCGATCATGACTGGAAAGAATATTCCCCTGGGCACATGGCCAATTAGGTGATGCTAGACATGATCTCAACCTGAAAATAAACTCACCTGAGCAAGGTGAAAAGTAAAATCATAACGACTGCCAGAACTTTGATGCTCCAGTGGTCTGCTTTCTGATAGACTTTAACGAGGCAGTATATGAAGGCTGCAAGAAATAATATCCATTCCAATAGCGCAGCAACCAGCAAAGGCCCTAGTACCGAGACATAGACGATCTATAGGCTTTGTTAGCCTCGGCTATCCTATCGGAGCACGAAGGTATCGAGGTACATCTTCTTTTGGCCATCGCTCGAGGTTCGCAAATTGTCCTTGCGTCGTCATATCGATGTAAAGAGTCCAAGGCGACTGTCAACTAGTAATCGGGCAGATGAACGTAAGACTTCAGGTAAGCGATATACTGTGAAGAGCACTGTGAATACTGTTCATTGTCTGAGCAAGCTCTATGCCACCCTTGCAAGGGTCACGGCAAAAGCCCGATCTTGTATAAGATGCAGCGATGCTGATACTAGCCAAATAGCTGAGGCCGAATAGATTGGCATGAAAAGCATTGATGAAAATGACGCCTGACCATAACTGCATTCATGTACCTAACAACTCAGAAGGTCCCCGCAAAACCCGAGTAGTCAAGACAACATGAAGAAAAGGCAGGTGCATCTACTGCCGGAAGGAAAGTAGGACATGTTGAAATATTGCCCAACCAGGGCAGTGAATTGTGAACCCAGACGAACAACTCTTTCTGTTTCCAACTCCTTTGCGAGATCAATTGTGGGGTGGAGTTAGTAGTTGTATTTGCAAACCATTGTTTTGAAATGCGATGGGAACCAAGTAGCGTGACACACTCTGGCTACACGTCGTTCGGCTAGTGAGGACATCGACAAGTGTATTTACTTCATCAATTGAGCAAGCGACACCAGTTGTCAATGTCAAAACATTGCGTGATAGAAGAAAGGGCCCCAAGAAAGCAGTTGCTTTCTTGCGCCATCGAGTCTGTCAATGCTGCTTTGAGAAGAGCTGAGATTCTTGATCGATTGATCTTCAGATGCTGAGGCTGATTTGAGCAACATGTGGCAGGACCAGCTCATTGAATTGACGTCTGATGAGCATTGGTTAGTCAGGCATTCTGATCACTACATTGATGTTTCTATTCCAAAGTATGATGGTGGTACTCATGCGAAGAGTAGAAGTTAGATACAGCCGGACAATTGGTAGGAGTAGTGTATAGTTCCAATGTCCCAAAGTGGTTAGTCGTACTCGCTCCCGACTCAGCCATGCGCCACATATTCATGCCTGAGGCATCAAGTGAGTCGACGAATGTGGCGCCAGCTCCGCGGGCGGTCAGAAAATTTCCCCCGCCGCGCATTGGCCTGGGAAATTTCCCTCTTGCAGCTGAGGCAGAAACTCCCTTTCTTTCCTTCAATCTTATTTTATTTTTTTTAAGTGGTTCTGGACAGATTTTCGTTCTGTTCACAAATTTCCTGCATCTCGTGCAACTGAAATACTCACAGGTGAGCATTCACTCCTACTCGATCTAATTTGCCCCCCATTCTTGCTGCACGCGGACATCCGATCATTATTGGCCAGGCAAATCCGTATCGCGGCTGCTCCCCCCAGCGAGAGATTTCGAATTTATTCATGCTCGCTTACCCCTACCCATCCCCGCGCATTCTTGATAAATACTAATTTTCGGGTCTGCGGTTACTGATATCTTCTCAATTGCAGGAGGTGCATCCTTATCATCATCTTACCGAACTTCTCACACACCTCATATCCATAATATCACAACATGTCTGACGAACAAAAGCCCGTCGCCCAGCCCAATGCTGAGGCTGAGAAGGATGTCCAGAACGTTCTGGCCGAGTTGAAGGGTGAAAGCACCGAGGCTGCCGCTCCTGCTGCTGCCGTCGAGGAGACGAAGCAGACCGACGAGGCTGCCGAGGAGGCCCGTATCGTGGAGGCGGCCGCCAAGCTGGGCGAGAAGTCCGCCCAGGCCGAGGAGCAAAAGCAGGAGACCAAGAAGCAAGAGCAGCAGCAGCAGCAGGGTCGCGGAGGCCGCACCAACTACCGCAACAACGTCAAGTTCGACCCATCCAGCCAGGAGGTGACCAGCGACCCCGTGCAGATCCGCAAGCAGGTCGAATTCTACTTCTCCGACTCCAACCTCCCCATGGACAAGTTCCTGCTCTCCAAGGTCGGTGGCAGCAGCAACCGGCCCGTCTCCCTCGAGCTCCTCCACTCCTTCAAGCGCATGCGCCGCTTCCAGCCCTTCAGCGCCATCGTCGAGGCCATCAAGACGTCCGAGACCGTCGAGCTCACCGACAACGACACCTGCGTGCGCCGCAAGACCCCCCTGCCCGAGACCGTGACCGAGAACCACAACCCCACCGTGGTCCGCGTGTTCGAGGACAAGGCCATGAGCCGCAGCGTCTACGCCAAGGGCTTCGGCGAGGAGGGCCCCACCACTCAGCTCGAGATTGAGGAGTTCTTCGCCCCCTACGGCCCCGTCAACGCCATCCGTCTGCGTCGCTCCTACGACAAGACCTTCAAGGGCAGCGTCTTCGTCGAGTTCGAGTCCGAGGAGAAGCAGCAGGCCTTCCTCGCCCTGGACCCCAAGCCCAAGTGGAAGGACCAGGACCTGCTCATCAAGAGCAAGAAGGACTACTGCGAGGAAAAGGCCCGCGAGATCGAGGCCGGCCGCATCAAGCCCAGCGGCGGCCGGGGACGTGGTGGTCACCACCGTGGTGGCCGTGGCCGCGGCGGCAACCGTGGCGGTCGCGGCGACAACAAGCGCGGCGACTGGAGGGATCGTCGCGCCGCTGAGCAGAAGAACGGATTCAGCGACAAGAAGGAGGAGCCCAAGGAGGAGCGTAAGGAGATTCAGAAAGACGCCCGGTAAGTTCCTGTCTACATCCTTGCATATCCTCAATAAAAAAAAGTGACCACAATTTCTAACATTCTCCTCTCCAGGGGCGTCCCCGTTGTCCAGAGCACTACCGACGAGTCCGCCGGTCAGAAGCGCGCCCGTGAGGAGGACGGTGCCAATGGCGACCACCCCGCCAAGAAGGTGGATGCCAAGCAGGAGTAAAGACTTGCAGCAAAAAAAAAAAAGAGAGAGAGAGAAAAGAAAGAGACTTCGATACCAGTATTTTGTCTATTTCATGAAAGAGAGTGTGTGGGATGGGATCACGAGAGAGAGAAAAAAAAAGCATGGCCTGGGCTCAATTTTCTTTGACTTTTAAAAGAAGACCATACTATAATGGCGTTGTATAGTTACCCCCTATTTTGTTATCATTTAGCTTTTCTTCCAAATGGACTTGGGTTCCAAAGCATTTATGTCCGTGTCCGTAAATCCAGTGGCTGTGGGTTCTTTAGTAGGAGTCTGACAGTTGTGGTATTCCAGCTCGATCCAAAATCCACAGGATGTAGAGGTTTGTGTGTATATACAATTGACTGTTATCCCTTGTTTCTGTTTTGCAGCTTCCCTCCAAGTGATATCTGGTTGGCTATATAGGTATGTAAGGGCTTGTTCAAAAGCGCTACGACGGACGAGTGAAAGGTGATTCCCCTTATTTCTTCTTCTTGGTCTTGTCGACAACATCGATCCATTGCGAGCGCAGTCCGCGCCGGGATAGTGCCTCCTCCAGCGCCCGTCGCTGATCACCCTGGATCAAGACCTCCATGACGCCTTTAGCTGCGCCCGTGGCCTGGGCGACACTGGTGCTGCTGGCGCATTTCTTCTGCAGCTCCTCGGCCAGCAGGCTGGGGATGATGCCAAAGACCTCCAGGCCGGAGACCTTGGTGACGGTCTTGGAGCCGGTGCGGCGCTCGAGGGTGATGGTGGCCTTGGGGGCGGCGCCGGCCTTGGGCTTGACGCCACCGGCCAGCGTCTGGCCCGGTTTCAGGATCACGTAGTGGGCCGTCAGGAGGGCGTGGTCGTCGACGAGGCGTTTCAGGAGGGCGTCGCGGGTGGTCTTGCCGCGGGCGAGGGTGCTGCGGTCGTCTGACGAGCCCGAAGCAAAAACGGTGGTGGCGAGGAAGGGGTTGAGGTTGACGATGCGTTTGTTGTGGGGGTCGATCAGCGGCGGGCTCTGCGACTGCAGGTACTGGTCCAGGTGGGCGGAGACGTCGGCGTACTTGTAGTAGTTGCTGGGGTGTGTGCTGGACAGCGCCGGGAAGATCGTCGGCGCCAGCTTGCCCGTCGGTCGGTACAGGGTCTGCACGGTAAGCGTCTGGCCCACAGAGGGGTCGCTGTCGGAGGAGGCGATGGCTTTGCTGCTGGTCGGGGCGGCGCCGGCTTTGTTGCCGGCGGCGTTGTTCTCGGCGGCATTCTTGGAGGGCAGTCGGTAGGGGACGAACTGCTCGACCCGACGATCGTTGAAGTCGACGTCTAGAATCACGGTTTCCTGTCCGTTGCGGTCCTTGGATTTGACCAGGCGCTGCTTGTCGAGATATTTGATGAACTTTTTCACATTCTTCCAGCTCGTTTTCTTGATCTGGTAGAATTGAGCCTGTCGGGGGGTGTGAATGGGAAGGTAGGGCGTGATCATGTTCGACACCAGCGCGGACGGCTGGACTGGCAAGGACAAGCCGTGGTTGGGCGCTGAAGGGTTGTCTTGTTTGAGCTTGTATAGCGAGTAAAGGAAGGCCTTCTCGAAGGCGTCGTCAATCTCTGTGCAATGTTAGCTGAACGCACGAAATGTTATCGGAAGAAGTAGCAGGCCTCTCTAACCTTTGGTCGATGGCTCTTTATCCTCCACGACAGGCTCTTCCTCGACCGGTTGAGGTGCTTCAGCAGAAGCCTCGTCGTCTCCCGCAGCCTGAGCAGAAGCCTGCTCATCCAAGTGAAGATCATTCACTGCTCCCTCAATCTCCTTCGTCTCGCCGCTGTCCTCCTCTTCGACGTCGTCCCACCCTTCCAAGTATTCGGGAGCCGGTTGACCAGGCTTGGACGACGAACTCCAAGCCCAGAGCTCGTCACCCTCCCAGTGAAGTCCACGGACAGCATGACCCTTAGCGCCCTGCACTTCTCCCAGCGCCGAGACATCGATCTCACAGACCCCTACGAACCGCGGCACGGTATACCTGTCCAGATCCGCCACGGCGACGACCGCACCTTTAACCGCACGCTCGTCGAACGGCGGCTCGTTCGCGATGCCCGGAGTCATCAGATCCGCACCTCCCTGGAGCTTCTGCATGACCATGCCCGGAGTGTGCAGCAGAGGTACTAAGTCTGCGTTGTGCCATAGTGTGTAGACTGTCGGGTAGAGGCGCCCGTCGGCGCCGGGGCCGTGGTCGACCTTAAACCACAGGACGCGCTCGTCGCCTCCGGGATGCGCCCCCACGTAGACGGTACCCTGAACCTCGTGGAGCTGCGGTCCGGCCGTCGTCGTGAAGCGCGCGGACAGGCAGTTATCGGGGAGAAGCGCATTCCGGACCGAGGTGAGGTTTGGCGCCGTCGGGTTGGATGCGCTGCTGGGGGCAGCCGAATCGTCACCGCTGGGCTCGGTGGGCGCACTCGATGAGGGGATCTCGATCTTGTAATCAGCGATAATCTGGTCGGCGATTTTCCTTCGATCAGAAGAGCGCAAGGGCGCAAGGTTCTTGATCTGTCGTCATCAAAATGTGGTCAGTGATGAAATTTGAGTAACCGGCTCGGAGACTCGACAGTGCGGGGGAGGGGTAAGTTACGGTGGGCTTCTTCTTGAACATGACGGCGGAAAAGAGAAAGATAGAAGGAGATAGTATATGTGCCAATGTAGTAAGTCAACGCCCTCCAACCACTCCAAGATCAAAGGCGCGCAAAAGGGAAAAAGCTATGTTATCCAGAAGGAAGAATGGATGGGCTTGTGATGGAGGGGAATGTGATGGATGGGTCTGACTGCCGCAACAACAATCGGCCGCTTTTCCCCGCCTTCGATTTGATTGATCATCGCGAGTCGCGAGGTACAGTACGTAACATAAAAGAACAAAACATAGTCATCCTGGCCATCCCATCAACAAGCTTGACATGATGTGAAGAGACATCTCCCACTACCCTGCATAGCCATTTTCCCTTATAACTCCATACAATCTCTGGCGAAACAACAAGCAGTGCTAAAATAATCTCATCAGTATTCCTCGCACAATACAAACCCCCAAGTATAAAGGGCGTCGGAACATACCCCAATACAGCAAAATGCAGTCCACCTTCCTGTAGAGCCTGCTACTTTTTCTGCTTCTGTTTCTTCTCCCACTCTTCCTGGTCCATATCTCTCAAGCCTTGCATGATCTGCTTGGCCTCCGCGAGGTCTTCCGGATCGTGAATTTTCAGGCCGTAGGAGAGCCCAAACTCCCAGAGACCGCTATAGCCGGAGTTCTTGAGCCACTTGGATTGACTCATCTGGTTGGGTTCGATGTCGCCGTCGGCGGGCTTAGTCCTCTGCGCAGGAGGCATATTGGAGAAGAGTTGCTCGGAAAGGCGGATGTTAGGCGAGAGAATCAATCAATGTATGTGGCTAGGTGAGGTGCGTAGTGGAGAAAGTGAAGGCAAGTGAACTCAGGCAAGGAACCACCCACATCATCTTTTTCTCATTCACTCTGCCAGGTGCACCGCGGCTGCTTCCACTTTGAGCATGCGGAATGAAAGTCCGGATATAGATACAGAGCCAGATTCCATTGTTTTTTCCGTCTAAGGATCTCCTGCAGTTGCAATTGTAGTAAGTCTGGAGTCTCTACGATGTGAAAATGAATTTTGTCCTATCGCTACCTCAGGAAAAATTGGATTGGAAAAACGTGCTTCTGAATTGATTTTATAGATACATAACGGGATGCCCGACCCGTAATGAATAGAATAATCACAGTAAAATGGAAAAGCACAATGGCTATTTATATAGAAGATTGGAAAAGAAGCGTGATCGATCTAGTGTTCACCCCAGAGCATAGCGCTTAGGCGGAGAGGTCACGGGCGTGCTTCTTCTCGCTAACCAACCAGGTGAAGGTCTGCTTGAGAACGCTGAGGAACTGATCAGCGCTCAGAGACTCGAAGTAGCTGGTGAGGTTGGTGCTGGTGGACACGGAAGCACTGGAGCTGCTGGAGGCAGAGCTGGAGCTGCTGGGAGTGGCAACGTAGGTCTGCTGGGGAGCGCTACCGGTGACGGTGACTTGCGCAACCTCAGTGGAGGTCTGGTAGGCAGTGGCAGTATCAGTCTCAACAGCGGTAGCAGTCTGAGTAACGACGGAGCCAGCAGCAGAGGTGACGGAAGAAGCAGCGCTGGTAGCGGCGGCGGCGGCAGTAGTGCTGGAGCTGCTAGAGGCGGCAGCGGAGCTGGCAGAGCCGGAGCCGGAGCTGGAGCTGGAGCTGGAGCTGGAGGAGCTGGAGGTAGCGTTGTACATAGCAGGTCCGGGAATATCGTAGGAGGAAAGAGACTGGTAGATGTTGACGAGGATACCAGCATCAGTGTCCTTGTACAGGCTCTCACCAGCAGTGCCAGAAGGAGCGAGATCACCGCCGCCAGTGACCTTCAAGTTGAAGCACTGAGGGTAGTTCTGAGCACCATCCTTGTTACCAGCAGAGTGAAGGGCAATGATTTCGTGACGGAGGACGTAGTTGCCAGCCGCAATGTCAGAGGGAATGGTCACAGTCCAGCTGTTGTTGTTGGCGATCAAGTTATCACTGGCCCAGGTACCGGGGACGTTGTCGTCGTTGATGAGACCGCTCTCGTCAATCTTGAAAAACTCGAGGTCGGTCTTGGTGACGCTGCTGCAGTCACCATTGCAGTTGGCAAGGTAGGTCAGGACAGGGCCGTGATGGCTGTCGGGCCAGGTAGTCCACTGGAGCTCAACAGTACCACCGGCCTTGACCTCAGCAGAGATGGCACCGGGCTTGGCACTCTTGTGGCAAATGATGTCGGCATCAGCATACTCGCTACCGTCGACGAAACCCAAGTCGGTCGCCTCGGTAGACCATCCAATGGTCTCCGGGGGATCGCTGGAATAGGGGTAGGAAGTGACAATGTAGCCGCCATAGTAGGTTCCGTCGACAACAGCACCCGACACGTAACCGTGGCCAGCGACGAGAGCGGCCGAGCCGAGGATAACACCAGCAAACTTAGCAACAGACATTTTTCGATCGACGCACAGCGTGAAAGTTCTTGAAAAGGATGGTTTGGAAAGAATGACAAAGGCGGTCTTCAATCAATGAAGCCTGGAATGAAAAAAAAGTAAGAGAATGGAAGGTTCGGAGACCCAAGTAAAGAAAGGAATGAGAAGCTTGGTGAGAAGAATGAAGAAGCTCCCAAAGTCGTGATTTGACGCCTTCTTATATCTTCTTCGATTCTCTATCTCATCGAGGCTTGGCCAGAGCTCAGACCGGATTACCCCCGAGGCCAGAAAGATGAAAGGTTCATTGCAGCCGGCCATGCTACACGTAGATTGCCTTGGCACCTGTCAAGTTTCCACAACCTGTGCGGTTGTCGGATGCTGAATATTGACTGAGATAGGGTCGCCGCAGCAAGGCGAGTCTGAGATTGATGAAGGCCAGGCACCGGGCCACTAAGCGTCGACACGGCGGTGGGGTTCCGGCGTCAACGGTCGAGACATTCTCAGGGACAAACACTACTTTTGACTTAGCGCTACTCGGAGAGGAGAGTCGGAATGATACCAGAACGACCCCGATGGATATTAACTACTTACCTTAGCGGGCGAGTGGAGCTGCAAGCGCCGGTGCTCTGGCGGCAAGTCTGCGACAGAGCAAGTTTCAACGGGGAGCCAAGCTGCTCCAGGTCCGCCCTGCCAAGAAATGCCATTTCTAAAGAGTCGCAAAATGTGTGGACCAACCGGGTATTGAACCGTCTAAGCAAGGAAGCTCCGACTTCACAAAGTTGTAGGAAAGCTTGGAGGATGAAGCGAGCGGGCGGGTTGGTGATGATGGTGATGGTTTGCTGACTGCTGAGTCCTCTCACATGGAAGCTCTGAAGCTACACTACAAATTGGGAAGCCACGTGCCATGCTGCCCTACCGACCGATACTCTTAGGAAACTTGTACCAATCTCGACTTTACAACACTCTCCCCTCATGACTTTAGATCAAGAATCTCTCAAATACCAATTGATGTTTATCATCACAAACTTACTTCTTACTGGTATAATGGTGGACGGACCATGAATGAAGGCTCATGGCTCAATGGGCAGAGTACTCCGTACAGTCTAGGTTCATCCTCGGCCTGTGAGCCGGCGTTTCCACCTTCCCGACTAAATGGCGCCGTCTAGTCACATACTAATTAATTAAAGGCGCGCGATCCGTCAGGTAAGTCGAGATCGAGACTTTCGATGGAAATTGCAAGGAGGACTATTTGACGCTGTCTTGGCACTAGAATCTCCTCCGTATAAGACTGTATCCCGATCCCTGCGTCCCCATGTTCCTCAAAGAAGCTGGAGGCTGGAATCTCAGGTCTTCTCGGTTATGTTCCGCGCCCGTGCTTCTTGCCACGCAACGTCCAGCCTCATCTCTAAAGAAAGTATCATCTAGATGCTTGGGTTGTAAACTTGGGTATGAGGATAATAGCTCAGGGTCTACGGCTAAATGCAGGGTCATGCGGCATGCACGGGTTGGTAGCAGCTCGAAACGTCTGATATACAGAGTAACTACCCCTACCATGCTACTGTCGTGGGTCCGATCAGTGCCTTACCCACCCTTCTCGTTTGCATCTTCCAAGTGGACCTGCAGATGCATATTTGAAACACTTTTGGGGCGAGACATCGACCGTTGCTTAGGCTTTTGTGCTCTGTCGTCTTCATTTCGGCCAACCAAGCTTTTTCTGAACGACGTGAGGATGCTTGTTTCTTCCTGGAAGGCTGAATGTCTCATTCGCACAGTTTACCAAGGAGAATAACTGAGATAATCAAGTTCAACCAGCCGCAAGCTGTCTCCCTATATTGAGCTTGAATCCACAGGTTCTTAAGCGCCGGACATCGCACAGCGGGAAATTAGAAATGCTTTGGTCACCCTCTTTTGACGGCTTTTTGAGCTGCATATGAGCAGGAACTGCAGACTTTTCGTACACTTCTTATGATGACCTCCGATAGGATCGTACCTTCTGTTGTAGTTGAGATTGGGCGAATAACAATCAAAAGCTCAATGTGTGACCCTCTGGTGCTTATATTTACAGGTGCAATGACAGCCGTGCTGCATATAGTATTTCCCTCTGTAAGAATACATTGTTTGTTCTGATTATGGTTAACAATTGTAATCAGGTTGCTCTGCATCCACCATGTGGTCATGCGCTCTCCGTTTGTGATACTCAAGCAAGACGGAGTAGGGTAAGACAGTATGGACGTTCTACATATGCCCCTGCAGCTTGAGATCTTGTACACCTCAGGGCCGGCTTATAACCCATGATAACCATTGGCTCTACGGATAGAGGGTACGCTCCTAGCTTTCAGTACAAGGAGGTCGTGGGATAGACTAATGCACGCTATGTTGCCGCCACACCGTTGCCCAGGCAGAGGGTGCTCTTAATCACAACTTATAGTCGCGGGTTTCGTATTGTTTTGCCTCATCTGGAAACAAGAATCTATCTCGACAACATGTCTCTACATAGTGGAGGGAATACTTCTTAGCCCTCAAGAAAGGCATGACACCTATCATGAGCTGCTTGGTTAGTTTGATATATCTCCATCAAGACATCCACTTTATCAAGCAATGATTAGTGCCTCTAGCGCTAACCGAAGGCAATATAGGATTCTCGAATCTCAACCCCAGTACTATATTACTATGCAGCGCGAGGGACTTCTGGCGAAAATGTAATAAGGAATTGGTAGAGGAGGTTACTGCCAGATGTTTACTATTTTCTCACCACGGACCTACTAGGTAACTTGACAAGCAGACCGGTTCTAGAACCCGACCAATGCAGCCTGACTATCCTACCACGTCCACGTCCACGACAGCGATAGGCGCCGCCCATCTGGGGCTGGATTTAGGTGCAGCTGGCACCGGTTGGTGAGGGGCTTTCCGAGGATATGAGCTACTAGTGCGTCATGATAACAATAACTAGACGCTCTATGATTAGCTGCACAGGGTCCCTACAAGACCTGGCTTGCCTGCGATTTTTTCCATCTTATCATCCCCGCACGACGCAATCTAGTCCGGTAAATGTCAGGAGGACTGGCACACCGTCTGGCCTGAAGCGTTTTCGCTTGTGTACACTTTTTCTTGGCTGCGTAAGCAATTTCAATGTCTGACAGGCGATGGCGCAGTTCATTGATTCATTAGAAGCATCTTACTCGCAATTTACCCATTGAATCCAATCTAATGAGACAGAGCTGGCGAAGTTCTTTCTCTTTAATCGGTCAATGTCTCCTACTACTCTCATTGCAAGAATGCTATCCTAGACTGGGACTTCGATCAGATTGGTGATAAGTGCACAAAGCGCCGATCGTGAGGTCACTTGTGTAGTACAAGCTCCTTTTCCCGGTAAAGAAACAGAGCTGTGAAGTGGTTTGAACCTGAGCCCTACTACGGAGTAGTAAGCTGAGCCAGTGATGGACCAGGAATACACTAACTTTGTATGGACTGTCCATTTTACACCGGGAAGGGATTGCGGGATGGATGGATGATCTTCCTCGGTGAGCACACCCATTATTGTTTACTCCACCTCCATGTCAGATTGGCAGGCTGGGAACTTATTGATCACTTACATACTCTTTTGAGCAGAGGATACTAGATACCTATGTGCTAAGGAACAGTGCTTGGACCGACACTGATAGTATAGGTAGAAGTACAGTCAAGCTTAGGCAATTCCGGAGCCTTCTACTTCATGAACTGAGTTATGGTAGGTACACTGCGCATGGTTGAACCCGTCTTGGTTGGCGAGAAATATTACCTACCTTCAAGGTTACCTTAGTACGGAGTACTAGGTACGGATAGGTATTATTGCACTGAGTGCCCCGGCCCAGCCAGCCTCCCTTCCGCCCAATTAGAACTCGGCGGCCTAGTTACTCCGGTTCCTGGCTGTTCAATTCCTTGATTAGGATTAGTGTATTATTGCCAGTCTCACCGCCAAGGTATGAAAGGGTTGATGAGTGGCAGTGGCACTGAACAGAACTCACTCGATAACCACGGACTCTGGCAGGCAGAAAGTCAGACAGTAGACAATTCATATCACGCCTCCTCTCTCCCATTCCCTTTCTTTACCGTACCTACACCCACATCTCACTCTCACCCTCCCCCCTCCCCCCCCTTCCTCCCACAGTCTCCAGGTTTGGCTTATCTACGGGGCCTTCCGTGGTCGATCACTATTCTTGTTAGCCTCTTCTCTTAATTACTTAATTACCTGTCACTTCTTGCGACCCATCTTGGGCACGACTGTCTCCCAAACCTTTTCACCTCGCTAACTCCGACCGTCGCTCTGATTTTCCTCCCCTTTCCCGCGGCCGCGCCTCCGCCTCCGCTCTCCCCCCCCCCTACTACGACAATTGCCTTTAATCGCTCAAGCCGTCTCTCACTTCACAGAGTCATACGCTTCCTCCTTCCTCTGGTTGGCCAGAACCTTCAAGTCCTACAGCAAGTCTTTTAGTCGCCCAGCCTGGTCTCATTTACGGATGCATTCGTGATACCGCTCGTTCGTCGACAATAACTGAGTGCGCCCGCCTACTGCGGCTCCAGTTTAGCCCCAGTCACTCCTTGACAATTCTACGCTCTTGGTTCCATTCAGAGTTGGACTAGGGCGTCAAGGCAAGGCTTAGCCTGGAAGCAGCCTGCGAGGCTTGTTAAGGAGGATCATCGGCGTTTCCATCCTGGTCACCTGCGGGCTATTGTGAGGATCAAAGGATGGGATCGGCAGAGGCTGTCTCTTCACCTGCTTTCCCTTTTCTGGAACCTGTTGTAGTCGACGACGAAATGGGTAATCCCTATCAAGACACAGATATGGACTTCTTGGACTCTGCAAGGTTACAGGTTTCGTCCGAAGGCGCGGGCAGGGATTTCGATGACCTCTTCTCTCACGCTCCTTCCACCCGCCAGAGCCGCGACTCGGAGCCAACATGCTTGTCGCCATCTGAACTATCGCTGAAAAACTCCTATCAAGAACAAGATGCAATGCGACAATTCAACGTGGTCTCCGCCGAGTCCCCCGCCGAGTCTCCGGACGGCTCAACACCAAGTTCGTCTTCTGAGTCACCACGCAATCATCTTCGGAACCCGTCCGTAACGTCTTCTGCATCGGCAGTACATAGCGAACACACGATAATGCCCTTTGGCTACACAACGGAGGATTGGATGAACCCGGATCTCGCGTCGGTCAAGGAGGAATCGCTTTTTGGACTGGATATTTCTCTTCCGAATATGGACGGCCCGTTTCATGCGGACGCAGACCTTGAATCAAGTAATAAG